AGAGAGAGAGAGAGAGAGAGAGATAGAGAGAGAGAGAGAGAGAGAGAGAGATAGAGAGATTGAGAGAGAGAGAGAGAGAGAGAGAGAGAGAGAGAGAGAGAGAGAGATTGAGATAGTGAGATAAAGAGAGAGAGAGAGAGAGAGAGAAAGAAGAAATGTAGAGAGGGGAGGAGAGCCAGAGAAAAAGAGACAGAGGGAGACAGAGACAGAGACAGAGACAGAGACAGAGACATAGAGTGACTAGGAAGGAGATTCCAAAATAACACAGTGACCGGCCCGGGGCAGTGCCACTATTGAGGGGCTCAGTGGGGGTACCCGGGGGCCTCGGGAGGGGAAGGGATGACTCACGAAGCCACGATGACCCCCAAGGCGAGGAGAGCCAGAAATATGGAGATGAGGATGCCAGGCAGGGCCCGGCTCAGCGGGCTGTCACTCATTTTCTCATACCGCAGGGCTACGTGGGGCTGCCTGTCAACTGGGGGTGGGGTGGGGCGGGGTTAGGGGGCGGACAGCCCCGACCTCCGAGTCACCACCCTTCCTTGGCTTCATGCACCCACTGCTGACTCAGCTCCCCGGCTCCTCCCCATCCCGCTCCTGGCCCTCGCCCTCTTCTGGGGTCTGACTCCCCATCTCTTCCTCCAATTCTGCGTCCCGGATGCTCTTCTAGTCACTTAGGATCCTGCCCTGAACCCTTGAACCCCTGAACCCCGCGGGGAAACATCCCTGCCCTCCCTGAGCCGACAGCACGACAGCCAGGGCGTCTAAGGAAGCAAATAGATAATTCCCCTCTCTTTAGTGTCATGGGGGGAGGAGGGAGAATGATACGAAAAACACTTCCAGGTTTAAAATAAGAGAAAAAAAACCCTAACAATTGAATAATGTCAGAAGTCTTCTCATTGGATCTTGATTTGAATGAATCAGCCGTGAAAGGTATTCTGGGGACAATTAGGGAAGTTGGAAAAGGGACTCGGAATTCTTTGATATTGAGGAAGTGTTGTCAGGTTCGCTGGGTGTGGGGATGGCATTGTGATCATGTAGAAAATGTCTTTATTTTTAGAGGCACGCGCTGCGAAAGGGTATAATCTCCCGGTGCCTGATTTCTTTTAAAACACCGCAGCGATAAATAGGTAAAACAGAAGCAGAAGAAACGTTCGTCGTCAGGATGATTCGATAGAAAGAGCCACTTTAGAGGATGTCCCTGGGGAGTCCTCTCCGAGGAGGCGAACCTTGAGACCCGAGGCAAGGAGGTGTCACGGAGAGAGGGGACAGCATGTGAAAAGGGCCAGCGTGACTATTCAGTCCTGATGTATATATGGGCGTTCGTTGTACTGTCTTCTCTGCTCTAAGGATAGGTATTTTTAAAATCTCGAATAGGATGTGGTTCCATAGTGCAGCGCTTAGCATGTCTGCTTTACACGCAGAAGGTCCCGGGTTCGCACCCCAGTGGAGCCACGGTCCATGGTCTACAGCCATGCCACCCTGAATGTGCCTAATCCCATCGGATCTCGGAAGCTAAGCAGGGTCAGGCCTGGTTAGTACTTGGATGGGAGACCACCTAGGAAGACCAGGTGCTGTAGGCGTAAAAAAAATAAAAAAAAAAAATCTCGAATGGCTGAATGAGTGAATTCAGCACATCCTTCCAGACCTCCCACATATGGCAGCAGCTAAAAAGAAAACCTTTTTCTAGCACTTGCCGTTCCGGCATTACAGGCCTTGTAAAGATACAGGGGTTTTCCTATACCACAGCCCAGATGTGGAAGCAACTTCTGGGCCACGCTGGAAGCAAACGTTCAGGGCAGGATTCGAGGCTGCGTGTGGGGGACCTCAAAGCCCACACCCACTGGGACACGGCTGTCTTCGTCTCTCATGCACCTGCCCCCCGCCCCCAGCCCGTCTTCCCGCACCCCGAGAGCTTACCGAAACAGTACTTTTTCTTGATACAGTTCGGACTGATCTTCAGGCAATGTAAACAGTCCAAGACCTCTTCTTTAAGCAAGTCTGGATCAGGGGAAAGGGTGGACTGAGATGAGGGCAGTTATCAGAGGGCTGGGAAGGAGCGGGAAGGCAGGAGGGGGGAGCGGAGGTGGAGTCCCTCGGCCCTCGGGAATCTGGAGGTCCCGTGCGCAGGGCCAGCTGAGCAGAACTCACTGACAGCTCATAGTGAAAATAACTGTTACATAGTATCGAGGAGTCAATTGAGCTGCAGCTGTCCATTTACCCAACGTTCTCTTCGTAAACCTTCGACTAATTAAAATTAAACACATCTATTTATGACATGTCGACAAACATTTTGCACATAGACTGGCTGGCCGCTCACTCATCTGTCCCCTCCTCTTCCTGCCACACAGGAAGACTGCGTTTCCCGGGAACCTTTGGCGGGAGGGTGCGACCACGTGACAGCGTTCCTGCCAACGGGAAGTGGGCAGAGGGACGTGGCAAATGTCCTTGTAGGGTTCCCTATTCTCTTTCCTTTCTGAAGCTCGCTTAGACGCCGCAACGTGGGTGCAGCCTGGACCACTTGGAAAATGCCCAGCTATTCGTGGATTGTGGGTGGGAGAGAAAGAAACCTTTTTGTTGTTGTTGTTAAGCCGCTGAGAACGTGGCGTTTGCTTCTAGGACGCAGGCTCTCCTATCCTGACTCACCTCCCTCCCAAGTACCTTCTTGCAGGTTGCAACTACTTTCCTAAGCCCGCGAAAATCGGGTATCCCTAGATGCTATGGCTTTGGAGGGGGGAGCTGCCAGATGGAGTAGGTGTAATAGTAGGGCTTGTTTTGGGGGAGACAGGGATTAGAGGGATAGGGCGGGTAGAGAAGGGAGGGAGAGACCATGAATCCAGAACTCACGGCAGCTTTTGGGATCGCAGGCTGCAAGAGAAAAGAGCCGAGGTGAGCTAAGTTGGGACGGGCAGCAGGAAGAGTTAACGGGGAAGGTTCCGGGAGAGAAGGGAATGTGGGGGAGGGGCAGAGAAAGTTCAGGCGGGGTGTGGGGGATGTGGGGAGGGGGAAGGAGCTTGAGAGAAAAGGTGAGAAGCGGATGGAGTGATGAAGGCGGCGAAGAGGGCTTGGTGGAGAGAGATGCCGCACCTTTTAATTCGTAGGATCTTAAAACTTTCTTGAGTTCCTGGATTGCGTTCTCCCTAAGACTCACCAGCTCTTCCAGCAGGCGCCAGTCTGAGGAAAGAAAGATCCTTGTGGGCTGGGAGGCTCCCAGCCCTCCGTCCGCAGCTCCAAAGAGAAAGGATGCGGAAACTCCTTTCCGTTCGCGAGGAGTAAGCTAGCGTCCGACCCACAGCGGGGCCCCCGGCCGAACCGCCCTCCCTCGGCCTCAGTTTCCTCATCCGGTAAGTAGCAGAAGGCTGGACTCGATCGCTTCTCTTCTCTTCTTGTTTTTGACACTCCCTCCTTCATGAGGGCTTTACTCATTCTCGAGACCTGCGCTGTCCGATGTGGCAGCCCCCAGCCACACGCGGCTACCGCCGAGTGCTCAGAACGGGACTCCAGCTCAGGGCCCTCCCACGTGACCGAGGTTAGAAGCCGAAGGTCCTGACCTTGGCCCAGACCAGAAGGTGCTATGTGATCTCCCCCTCCACCCTCTTACCTCTAGGACCTCATCTTCCATATCTCCCCACCCCCCACACCCCGGCCTCCTTGAGAGTCTGCGAATATGCCAAACATAGTCCTGTCCACCGGGCGGTCCTTCCTTTCTGCCTGCAGCCCTCGACCCCACACCCCTCATGGCTGACTCTCCTCTCTTTCCGTCGTTCCTCGCCCGCTGACTTCTGGGTGTCATCCTCCTTGGCCGCCCTGCTTTAAACTGCGACCCCATGTCTACTCCCGGCACTGCCTGTCCACGGGTCTCCACTTTATTACTTTCCTCCATCATATTTGTCCCCTTTTGACTTATGACATCGTGTAGTAAAGGGTTAACGCAGCAGGCCTGGGTTGTCCAAATCCTGCACATTCCAAGAACAGGTTTGGCTCTGGCCCGGCTCCGCCCCTCAGACCTTGGAATGTCCCGCCTGTGAGAGTGTCCTTCCTTGCTTGAGGACCTTGGGCCACACCAGTCTATACTTAACGGCCCGATTCATGGTAAGGCCTCGGGCCACGTGACCGCTGGAGGGGCTTGGAGACTGAGCGACAAAGGTCAGCCACTTGGGTTCTCCAGGCGGATGTGACCAACCCCTGATAATGTAATAATGGTCAGTAAAGTGGTTGGTCCAGGCTCTTTGAAACTGTCACTGTCATAAAAATGACAGATCAAGGATCGAAAGAACACTAGACTGTCCTTTCTCGTTCTTAGATCACCCACTGGAGAATGTAGTGTCTAAGCTAGGGTTGAAGTGTCACTAACTCTCAAATCACACACACACACGCACACACGCACGCACTTCTCATATCTTTTTAAAAACTGCTGGGCTGGTCCACAGTGTCCTACGCCCTGCCCTGCTCCATCCCTCCAGGTGGGACAAGGCTTCTGGGGCTTATACTCCCCCGACATCCCCCAGGTCCACAGACCCCTCTACTGCCCTCTGCTGGGACTGTCATAAGGACCTCGCAAATCTCCATCGACTGACGGAAAGGCCCTCCGGGGTCGCAGAGACAGGCCCGCGGGCTGAGGGTTGGGGATTCGCTCTCCGGGATGTCCCCGGTTCAAGTCCTCAGCTCCGGTGCTTCCCAGCTGTGTGCCCCTGGGCCTGTCTGAGCTTCGGTCCTCTGCAGAGGGCGCCGCCCACGGACATGGCTGTCCAGACTTTTCTAAGCAAAGCACTCAGAGCCCTGTCGGAAGTGCAGTAAAGGCTGTACCCCGCGTTTGCCTTCGTTTTCAAATCAGGAGGAGGCGCGGTGGTGGCAAGGGACGAGGGGGAGGGGGCTGGGACACGTCTTTCCCTCTCGGCTCCTACCTCTCAGGGCATTACTCTTTAAGATGTTCACTTGATTCTTGATAATGGACGCCACATGGTCCAGGGGATCGACTTCTGGGGACGAGAGGGGAGGAAATTCCGCTGGGTCCCTCAGAGAACCAAGTTACCCCTCCCCCATCTTCCTCCAGGTCAGGTCCTTCCATTCCCCCCTCTCTGGGGCCGCTGGTCCCCAAAGTGTCCCCGACTCCAGCGTCCGGCTCGGACCCCGCGGGTGCCAGGCACCGTCCCCTCCCCGCCGCTCACCCGCTTTCCCCACGAACGCTTTCAGCGCGTAGTCCCGGAAGAAAGGCCCCTGCATGCCCCGCAGCAGGGCCTGCGCGCGGGTCCGCAGCTGCTCCACGTGGAAGCGGCTGGGGACGATGGCGACGCGCAGCTGGCTCAGCGCCTCCTGCACCGAGCGGTCGCACTGCAGGCAGCCCCAGCCTCCGCGGGCGCTCAGGCCCGCGAGCAGCAGGAGGGCCAAGGCAGGAGGCATGGCAGGGCCTTTGTGGCGTCACAG